TTAGGGCCTAAATGGACAATCCAGGATGATTTCTACAGAGCAAAATATTTAGCTGAATTTCATCTCCAAAATTCTTTAATCAAATAGGATAACATTCATAGGTTCTGGTGTGGACCTATCTTTTAAGGAGCCACCATTCAACTGAGGAAAGTATAACTTTTTATAGATTGACTATTTTCACTATGTGAACATATTTGGTGGTCACCACTTCAGTGATTTTAGAGATACGTGTAAGGTACCCCAACCTATGTACCTTCACAACATCTTCATCTATTTTCTGAGAAATTTAGTGTATTGCCTGATAGTCTACCAATATAGTTCAGGTAAGACATTATTATTATTATTATTATCATTATTATTACTACAACTATTGTTAATGTGGCAATAAATAACCTTTCATGTCTCCTTCTGGGCCTAGATACATTTTGGAAGAATTAAGAATACAGGAACAGAATTGTTGCTCCTGGACTTATGAAGACAATGAGTTACTCACACATGTGTTTAATATATGAAGTCAAATTTGTTCCTTATAGGCTTGACACAAAACTGAACAGAGTCTAAAACTTGGAACTCTGGTCATAAGAGTATGTGAGACTCTGTGTCAGTTAGTGTTCCATTGCTGTGACAAAATACCTGAGAAAACAAAAGGAGAAAATCATTTTTTGGCTCATGGTTTCAGAGATTACAGTTCATGGTCAACTGGCTCCACTGTTATAGGCTTATGTTGAGGCAGAACATCATGGTAATGGGAGGGCATGGCAGAGCAAAACTGATTACTTCGTGGCCACCAGGAAGAAGAGAGTGAGAGAAACTCACCAGGAGAGAGAGAGAGAAAGGTGTGTGTGGGGGGGTGGAGACAGAGAGAGAGATAGGGAGAGAGAGAGAAAGAGAGAAAGAGAGAGAGATAGACTGAGGACAAAGACAGCTTTCAAAGTCATGCCACTGCCGCCTAGTGACCTACTTCCTCCAACTGGGCTCCAGTTGGACTCCACTTCCTAGCTTCCACCATGTCCTAATCATGCCATCAAATTATTAATCCATCACTGACTGTGTCAGAGTCCTCATATTACAATCCATTCCCAATAGCCCCATCTCTGAACATTGCTTTGAGGACTGGGTCTTTAACATGTTAGCCCTTGGGGACATTTCACTTCTAAATTACACTCCCCAAAAGCTTTGGAAGACAAATAGGGACTGTTCAGAGTAAGAAAGAGAAGAATATTCAAGAAAACTTTGCCTTTTATCCAGAGTGATTAAAGGTATTGTGTTGGGGTGAACAATATTCTTCAGTTATAATCCTATATTTTTTTATTCAGTATTTATTTCTTAATATAAAATTTGTAGAAATATAGGTAGTGGTTTAAATTTCAGACATGAACTCTCTCCCTACTTGAGAATCTAAATGAATTTAGGGGACATAATAACAAAAAAGTCTGCATCTTCCTCATTATTTTAAATATTTCATTATGATCCTCATGCTAGGATTATTTCCAATTGCAGATTCAGCAGATCAGTCACCATTTTTAGAGGTGTCTTGTAGCTATCATTTTCCCACCATTCTTATTCTCTTGGTATATCTAGATTCACTTTTTATGTGTGAAACAAAAGTCTGCTTTCTTGTCTACCACATCTCTTATGCCCACTTTCATTTCTGTCTTCAATCATGTTGTCCTTATGTGACATGTGCCTCTCTGTGGCTTCTCATCTTCTTTTCCTTCAAAACACAAGCAGGAAAGCACAATGACAGCAAGGAGACCCTGAAGGCCAGTGCCCCAGGCCAGAGAAGTCAGCCAACTAAAATAGCCCTAACTGAGAGCCTTAGAGGGAAAGGACAAGTCAAGATAATTCAACAACGAAAGATTTTATGCATGATTCTTTAGTCACACATTCACAACAGAAAAATCTTTGGAACTCCTAAATATAAGATCACATGTGCCCTTGTTTTGTCATCTCTTAGAAATGATGGATTCCTTTACATCATTCTAAAGAGAACTAGAGCAAGAAACCCACAGTGTTGAAGCACTTAGGCTCTTGTGTTGGCTCTGTAATTAACTCACAAAACCATCTTTGCTAAGTAATTTAACTTCTCTGGGACTTTCATATTTCTGTACCTTTGAAAGTGCTCTCTCTTCTATCTGGAATTTCCTGACCTCTTTGACAGGCAACTTTTACTTATCAGCAATTCCCAGCTTGGTATCATTTTCTTTCTGAACCATCCCCTGGTTCCCCCCACCCACGCCTGAGCAGTCAGGTACCACTTCCTGGGTGCTCCTGTAGGGCTGAAATAAATGAACGTCCCTCTGCTATTCTGTGCCTTCCCCAATACTTGCCTTGAGCTCTGAGAGGATTAAAATAGTATTTCCTCTATTTTTGAAACGTTAGCACCTGCCATGCGGTTTGACAAATAAAACACACATTTACTCGATATGTTTGTTGAACTAAATGAATGAACTTCATGTCTTAGTATTTTTTCATATGTCAAAAGAAGGAATTAATCAAGATTGGTGGTTTTCAATCTCTTAAAAAGTGGAAGAACCAGTTTGTTTTTAGTTAAAAATTGAAAAGAAGGACTAATACATTATGAAGAAAAAGAACACAGTGCTCTATTTGAAGACTGGGATTCCAGACATCATTCCACTTGACCTTCCCTCATGTACAATAGCACTAGCAGGTGGAGCAACACAGTTAAAATAACATGGTCTAATCAGGATTGCTAATTTCCATTGCAGCTAAAAAATTGTCATTCTGTAAAATGTACTCTTTCATGTAGAAAGATTTTAAAAATTTGAGCATCTTTTGGTGGATTTTTTTCCCAAAAAATAAAAATACTGACTGGTTCCCTGAGAAACAGTCTATGGCATCCACATAACCAGCTCTTTCCTTAATGATTCAGGCCCTTGTTAGGAATTCCGCATTGACTATTTTACTGAGCTGAATTCACAAAGGCACTGTTATGACGTGTTTATTTTCCTGTAGCTTCCTTGTCTGTCAGCTGTCATTTTTCCTCCTGTCATTTTTACTGACCTAATAGCTCCCTTAGCTAATCTCTTCTCCTCATAGACCTACTGCCCTAAATTTTCTTCTTCTAATATACAGTGAGTGAAAACAATAGAAAATAAAGTTTGTTTAGCGGTATATAGTCACAAAGACCAAGACTTGAGAAAGTTCAGTGGCTTTTGTGTTGTCACTTTGTGAAGGTCATAAAAGTTATTTGAGATGTTGGAATTTCTTTCTGGTTTCTAGTTCCTTCAGTTTAGGAACTAAACTTCTACATAAATGAGATAGATAATTCCTCTAGAAAAATCACTCTTGATGTGTCTGGGAATGACTGATTGAATGTTCCTTACATGATTTAAAACATTTAAGTCACCATTTTAAAACAAAATAACATGAACTATGAGTATGAACCCCTAACGTATATTAATTTACAATTCATACACACATTTTTTTACTAATATGTCATATACTCTATAATATATATGAAAATATATAAATTAAAAGTAATAACATAAAAACAAATATAAATTTTCATTCTAATATTTTCTGTCCACATTTCACCCATTGGGAGGCACACACAATTAAAACAGCTAACTTTCAGCCCTCTAACTTAGATATCTACGTAGAAATGCTAACTTTGATCTTACCTAAACAGAAATGTTTCTGTCTAAGTAAAAGCTAATTTAGCTTCTTTTCTTTTCTTTTTTTTTTTTTTTTGTCAGCACTGGGGGGTTGAACTTAGGGTCTCATGCTTGCTAGGCAGGCACTTTACCACTTTAACCACTCTGCCAGCCCTTTTAGCTTCTTTTCAAGACATCAAATTTCTTTGTGTCTAGAACCTAATATGAAATGTAGCATATACTATGTGCATAAGAAATGCTTCACAAATCTGTCATAAATGATTAAGTAGCTCATAAGGATGTGTTATAAGGCATTATAATTAGTTCTTTATTCTATTGTCCTAGTTCAAGTCAGAACTCTTGCACAGTGTGTTCATACATTATTATATCATGATTAGTTTGTACATCACCAGTGAGCATGTCACTGGGATTTCAGAGGCAGGGGCTTTGATCTAGGACTAGGGAGCTTACTTGTACTGGAAGGCAGTCCCCAGGAAAAGTTTCCATTCATCTACATTTCTGTAATATGAAACACAGCAAAAGTCTGGTCTTAATACAGGCCATCCAGAGGTGTCTGGGTGGGACAGGCAGTGAGGTACTGGTAGTAGTAGTGCCTAAGTAGCAGTAAGTCTCCAAGCCAGGAAATATTATGACACTTGGAGGGTGTGAGGACCCTCAGGGACACATCTGCATTGAGTTTCAGGGCGCAGGTTTGTCTTGAGCCTTCTGTTATTATTCTGTGCATTCATCTTGGGTACTCTTATAACCCCCAAGCTAGTAAATTACTAGCTATGAGTCTGTATTTCAGACACATATCCAGTAGTCTACTGAGCAGTTCTAACCAGCTGTCTGGTAGACCCTACATTAGTTACATGATCAACTCAGCAGCTTTCTCCCAAACCCGCTTCTTCTGAATGGTTCTATCTCCATAGCTGGTACTATTATCATCCTCCTACATTCAGAAACCTAGAAGTGCACTTGACCCCTCTAGCCCTCTCATCTGTTACCCCTGACTGCTTGATTTCATTTCCACCACCAGGATCATTCCTGGTCTTCTAACTGAACTTCCTAACTCTAATCTCAGTATGTTCAAATCCTTTCACACACCACATAAGAGTAGTTTTTATAACCATAATTTGGATAATACATTCTCTCTGCTCTGCATGTTTATGTTCCCACAAATTTCATATGTTGGATCCTAATCATCAAGGTGATTGTATTAGGAAGTAGAACCTTGGGGAGGTGATAAGATCTTCCTAGGACCAAGAGAAGAGAAAAAAGTCAGTATCTTTGTGTCTTTTTATGAGGGTACTAATCTCATAACCTAATTACTTGTAAGAGGCCACCTTCTAATACAATCATAGTGGGGCTTAGGATTTCAACATGAATTTTAGGAAAAGGTAACATTCAGTCCATGAAACAGAATGAAAGAATGACAGCTGAATGCTAGAGTACTCATGAGGAATTAAGGCAGCTTGGGGAACTCTCAGGAGCCCACACTTAACTCCTGGCATATCAGACACCAGCTTCATAGCCTTAAAATCACTCCCAGGTCTCCTGAGAGAAAAGAGTTTTCTGAGTTTGGAGTTGGACAAACTTGAGCTCTAATCTTAGCAATGCAATCTTAGTATTGTAAGAATTTGTTGTTCTAGTTTATGCAAAAGTACATGGCATGATTATGTGACATTTTGATGTGGTCCTTGTGATATTGTCATTATGCCATGCTTGACTTTACCCTTCAAAATGCTTCTGCTGTATCCTAACAATAAGAGATACAATTTTACAATATTTTTAATTGACTCATGTTAATTGTACATAGTTATGGGGCACAGTATGGTATTTCAAGGCTGTATACAATGTATCATAATTTGATTGGTGTATCCATCACCTCAAACATAATTTCTTTGTATTGGGGACATTGAAAATTCTCTCTACTCTCTACTAGCTATTTTCAATGTATAATGAATTGTTGTCAAGCACAGTTACCCTGTTGTGACATAGATCATTGAAAGTTATTCCTCTTGTGTAGCTGTAACCCTGTATTCATTAACCATCCTCTCCCATCTCTCCTTCCCACCACCCTTCTAGAATCTGTTTAGCACTATTTTACTCTCTTCTGTGAGACCATCAGGTATTGAGCTAATAGTTTTGAACATTTTCCACATAACTGGCATTCTTCCAAATGCAGTAGGAGAATTACCTTATTAAGTCATTGTAGGGAAACGCAGTAGAGAGTTTCTCTCATCATTCTCACTTTATGAGATAACCAAGGCAGAGAGAAGTTGACTGATATGTCTAAAGTCACAGAAGGGCAAGTTACAGCATTTGACTAAGTTGGTGGTTCTACGACATAGCCATTCATTTGTTCTTAATATTTTTATTTGAGTTTTATTTCTTCTTTGTTGCAGTAAGATGTTTACATGTAATTCAAGGAGTATTGAACTGGGACCAAGATTAAAAATGCTTACCTTATCATCTCAGCAGGAAAGTTAGATTTGTACACTAAGTACAGTGTGAAGTCAAACTGACAAATATTGATCACTATGACTTTCTAGAAGCATACTATGACTTCTTGATAATTCTAGATCTTAGCATCTTTGTGAGAGAATTAACAAAACTGAGCAAAGAGATATATAAGCAATCAAGGGATAAAACAGAATTTTCCAGAGAAGCTCCTTTCTGTTCAACTCTTTTGAGTACAGATCATGCTGCCATAGACAGCGAACTCTCTACTGGCAAGGCAATCATTCTCAGAATCGATCTATGTCCAACAAGTAGTTTTCAAATAGTCTGGGCCTCTAGACAAGTTCTCGGGAAAGTAAAAGCACTTTCATAATGTCATTTCTGAAGTCTCCAATTTTATTTTTTAAAAAGGAATTTGTTAGTTATAGGTAATTGAGGAAAATGTCATTTGTCCTTTGCGGGGCATGGTCTAAATGCTTGTCCTCAGTCTTGATGACTTTGAAGTCTTCGAAGGATAACTTCAAATTCAGGGTAATTGAAATCAAGTTTGGATGTATTGACTCATTAAAGATAAGTGAATGGGATCAACTCTAGTGGTCTTTCTGAAGAAATGAAATTCCTGGGATAGGATTAACCATACAACTAGACAGAAGGCAAATCCAGTGCCCAGCTTCTTCAGTTTTGATAACCTAGCTGTGATTTCTCTTTTGCCCCAGTGAGTTCACAGAGATGTTTTCTGAGATTTCTTCAACTGAATTCTATATTTCCTTCACAACTTTCTACCTGCACATTACACTTGTTCTTAACTCATCAGAGTAAGCCACAATCAGAATGTCTCATTTATAAATGGAGAGTGGATCAGCTTTTTACTTTCGACCACAAGTTTTTCTCCCCACAGATACCACTGGTCCAGTGAAGACAGTCAGACCCTGGACTTGAGCCAGGGCATCCTCAAGGGTGTCAACCTTGGGTGCTTGGATGCCTACAGGGGATTCATGCAACTGCAACTGGTTTTACCTGATCAAGGTCCTGTTTGACCGAAATAAACAAAGAACTGAAAAATAAGGCAGAGATGAAGAGATTAAATAGCTGGCGCTAAGATTTTAGATGCACACGTTCACCAGAAAGGTTATTGTAATAGTTTTTGGTTTTTGTTTTTCTTTTTTTCCTTGTCCACCCTTAAGATTTCTCCTTCCTTCTGGATATTTCAGTTGGTCTGAGGGCAGGAATAAAACAGGATTTGGGGGGACTTTCCTAGTTGGGCGGGGGTGAGGTCTGGGCAGCCAGGGACCAGGTCCCTCCCTCCTTTCCCCCAGTCCCGAGTGGGCGCAGCGCTGGGCTGTGCAGCCCGCGTCAGCCAAGTCTGGTTTTGGCCTCCTGACCCAGACAGCTCTGGGCGCGAGGGAGTTCGCGGCCGAGCCCGGGTCGCGCCGCCCCGAGGCGCGGGGCCGCCTGCCAAGAGTTCGAGGCCGCCCCGATCCGGATGTGATGAAAAGGAGCTACAGAGGGAGAAGTGTTTGAGGACTGTAGGAGTAGTGGAAGGGGGAAAGAGAAGCAGAGGGGGCTGAAAGTCCTCCTCGGAGCAGAGCAGGCCAGAGTGAGCTGGCTGAAAGAGGGGGCGGAGTGCGCGAGTCACCGCCGCCGCAGCAGCTGCAGCCACTGCGACGTCTGGGCCGAGCCCAGCGGGGCGGGAGGGACGCGCAGGGCAGCCGCCGCCGTCGTCAGGCCACCGGTGCGCGATGCGGCCGCCGCCCGGGCCTTGCTAACTTTCTGGGTCGGAAGCGCAGAAGGAGGAAGGGGCTCTGAGCAATTGGGTGGGGGGATGCCGAGGTAGGTGCTGGTCCCCGGGCCGGGAAGAGGAGGGGTTCGGTCTCCTCCCCAGCAGCTCCCCAACTAGATCTCTCGTCCTATCCCCTCTCCACCACCCCCTGAGTCCCCACTGCTGTCAACTCCAACTCTGAACAGTTTTCCTGGCTGATTTCAAATCAAAACTTCCCCGGGGTGGAGTTTGTGGGCGGGAAGTGGAGGGAATGTTCCGCAGGGGTGCTGGGCTCCTCTCTAAACACACTTTGCTTTTCTCTTTTCCGCCAGAAGCAGTCAGCTCCCTGCACCCTAACAGGCCTCGCTCGGTGCGCCCCGCGGGCGGCGCGCGGGCGGCGGCGCGGCCCATGTCCGGCGCGGGCGAAGCCCTCGCTCCCGGGCCCGCGGGGCCGCAGCGCTCGGCCGAGGCGGGCGGCGGCCGGCTGGGCTCCCCGGCCCAGGGTGAGTGCGCGCTCGCGCGTGGCGGGCTTCTTTCATGCTTGCGTTGAGAAATTTGCTCCCACTCGTACGGATGGGGGTGGGTGGCTGGGTGCTGTGAGGACGGCTTCCCACCTCGTAGTTGGGAACTTTTGCCCACTTCGCGGTACTCAAGCAAGTTTGCTCAGGATTCCTGTCCCAGATCAACAACCGGATAGGAGGGCGGGATGGGCTGGTCCCTCCACTCCCCCTTCCTTTGGTTGCGGAGAAACTGGATGACAGGATGGCTTCCTCCTTGAACACATGCATTGCTGGGCCTGGGACTTGGATGTGTGGGTTCCTTCTCTAGGTCTTTGCAGTTCGTGTGCTGTCCTCAGATACAGGACTGCCGTTGCTCTCTGCGCAGCGGGGAGCTCTCCTTTTCATCTCTCTGTCTTGTGGGCTACTCTGCCAGCTCCCGTTGATAATCCCGGTTTCTGTGACCAATTACTTTGGAATGGGTCATGCATATGTTTTCAATAACTGTTTTGAAATAAACGTTTTTAACGAAACACTTTCCAAGAATTAATTAGCTTTGTGTTCCTCTAAAGGGGGAAAAAAAAACCAACTATTGTTTCTGGGAAACTTTCATAGCAGGCTTTAAAGTTAGAGAATGTCTTCTCTTGAAGGTAATAAACTTCAGGTTTTCTTTGGTGACAGTGCAAGGCTCTTAGGCTTCTCATACATTTTCTTCTAAAGACAGTTCTAATGTAGAATTGTGACACTGATATCTTCTATCATAGAGTTCTGACACTGATAGGCAAGAGATATTTTTTTTCCAGGGCTCAAAAAAACAACTTTATATTGGTGATTTTAAGCATATCTGATAGCTACTCTTCATAATAATGTAATGAGTTCCTTGGTATTTTTTTTTAAGGCAGAAAAAAAAAATGGAAAAGAGTTAGCTTCATTTTCAAGCCACAGTAGATAAAAGCAGAAAACATCCATGGTTAAATTAAAATGTTCTGGCATTCAGGGCTGTTAAATCGAATTATGTTTATCATTTTGCTCTGAAAGAGTGGCTCATTTTTTTCTAAACAGAGAAAATAAAAATGATGAGCTGCAGAAAAGCCGAGAACAAGAATGATAAACATATGTTTTCCTAGAAGCAGCCCATGTTCTACACATTGTATTGTCAACACAATCATTTTCCTGTCATTACGCATGCCCTCAGTAGTCATATCGACTCATTGATGGGCTGTTTATGCTCCCACTTGAGCTGTTAATCACTATTGTTAAACAATGCTTATGTCAGAAATCAACATCAAACACCCAAGGAAAGCACTTTGATTTGGAAATAGTTAATCTGTACAATATCCAACTTTAATACATGCGTTTTTAAAATCAGCTGGAAGAAGTTGCAGTGGTACTTAATGCATCTGTGCAATGTAGAGCTGCCTGGTAACACATGATGATCTTACTTCAAGAAGCAGGGCATCTAAAAGATCCTGAAGTAGAAGGTTTGCTGCATACAACACACATTCTCAATGTAGAAACTCTTGGGTTGCATTGTAGCTGACAGTTTTCTTAGCATCATTGCTTTTCAATTACTTTAACTTTGCTTCAAAACTGTCATATATAAGGACTATTTTAATCATAAATGTAATATAAAGTTAATTTTTAAAGAAAAAAATTCTCAGTGTGTGTTTAAAGTATTGTGTTTCAAATAGGTAGGTTTCATAAGGTGAGTGTGTAGGAAAAAGCTTCAAGATCAGCATCAGACTTGTTTCATTGATAAAGACATTTGTGAAGAAGCTTTTCTTGTAAGCCACTTTATTCTTAAACCTTTCTTCAAGATCTCTTGTTCTCTTCCTCTGTTCTTGAGTTCTTTATCATCCTTTCTGAAGAACAAAGATGTTCTTGAGCATAAGGCTCAGTGAGGACATTACTGCATCATGAATTGAAACTTAATTTTTAAAAAATCTGTACATTAAGGACTGGGCATGGTGGCACATGGTTGTTGTAATCCCAGCTACCTGAGAGGCTGAGATCAAGAGGCTTGAGGTGTAAAGCCAGCCCGGGCAAAAAGTTAGCAAGGATGCCCTCTCACCATCTCTAGTCTGGTGTGGTGGTACACACCATGATCGCAGCTTTTTTACTGGGAAGGCATAATAGGAAACAAGAGACCCTATCTGAAAAACAACTGAAGCAAAAAATGGCTGGAGCATGGTTCATGTGATAGAGTGCCTGCCTTCCATGCAGGAGACCCTGATTTCAAACCCTAATAGTGCCCTGTCCAAAATTCTGTATATTAAAGTCAGTGAGAAAAACCAATGTTTTAAAAAAATTAACAGGAAATATCATGAAGAGAAAGGATTTGAACAAGTGCTCCCCTGCAGAATTAAACATATATATGCATAATATTTACATAAAGATAAATAACCTATACATGTATCATATGTTGCAATTAATTTTCCATACTTTAATCTAAGGCCTAGGACTTTGAAATTGGATGTAATTCTAGGGATTCTCTTTATTCTGAACTCCCCATCAAATGTAGTATTCCATTTCATATCCTTTTAGGTAATGTTTGGAAGCTATAGTGTAACTCATTGTAATTTTCAGCATTAAGCATTAGAAAGGTTTTATTGAGAGCATAGTTCTGTTTTCTAAAAACATCTACCTTTTTTATTGTGATTCTGGAAGCATTACTGTTACTTTGAAAGCATTACAGAGCATTAGAAATCTTTCTTGTGTATTTTGAAAATTGTTACAGAGCTTGCACATAAGTCACATTCTCCAGGCTGTAAGAGGGAACCAGGACAGGTGTCAGACAATAAGGATAAATGGGATTTCAGGGACCTGGTGAACTCTGGGGCTAGAAGGCAGCACACCTCAGTTCTAGCTAATTATTGTCATGTGGGTTAATATCTCCTGATATTTTAAGAGCTACTGGAATTGTAGATTTATTTATATGTGTCATCTCTACATTTTTAAAAGTTGGCAACTAATAAAGCACAATGTTTGTCCAAGTGAAACAAAACAACTTCATCTGCAGGCTGATGTGGCCGCTAAGCAGCTGATTTGTTATCATGCTATTGAGAATAGAAAGTAACTTGTGACTTAAAACTATTTCCCTGTTTATAGGTAACATCTGAAATGTTGACTTACCATTTTATGGGAAATTCTTATGTAAATGTCTCAATAGGTGAAGGACAATTTGAGACATACTTATTTTGTTTGAAGAGAGATTGGGTCTTCTTTTAGGTGATTCTTCCAATTGTCCTTTAATATGGGAAAGGACATCCAAAGAATTTAAGTGACTTGCCCAAGGTCCTAAGCACGGTCAGTAGCAAAAAGTTAGATGGAAAGACAAATTATAAAATATATGTCATTGTGATAAATGTGGTTGAAGTAGAGAATCAATACGACTTTTCATGTGGGCCAGATGCATTGAAGTTAATAGGCTTCAGATATTGTGAATCACTTGAGCCTATTTCCATCCCAACCCCCACCCCACTGCACTTGCCAAGATGTAGACCGTTGGACTCTGAGCGCTGGAATATACTTTAATGTGATAATGTGTGATTTAATGCACTCTTTTCTCTTGGGAGAGTCCTCTGAGACTATTAGGCGGACTTTTCATAGCAGGATGCAAAATGCCAGTGAAGTTAATTAAAAATAATCTAAAATAGAAGCAAGGGAGAGGATCTTCAAGTTGAAATTACTTAAGAAGAGCTTTGACTTAGAAGCTTAGCTGGGTTGTCAGGAGTTTATAGGCGCTAATCAGATTTCCTTTTTCAGGAAGCCTGTTTATTTTATATATATATATATATATATATATATATATGCTTAAAAAACATATCTGTATTCTTCTACTTTTATTATGTTGTTTTATCTTTTTCAAGATGACATTTCTAGAAATGTATCATCTTTGCATGGCTTGGTTCTCAATTAGGGATGATTATTCCCCTCTTGGAGATATTAGGCCGTGTCTGGAGACAGGCTTGGTAGTTCTTACATGGTGGGCTGGTGTCATCTGCAACTAGTGAGTAGAGGCCAGGGATACTACCCAGCAACCAACAGGATACAAGATTGCACAACCTTGCAGTGAAGAATGATCTGGCCCAAAACATTAATAATTCTCAGAGAGATGCTGCTATCTTTATCTCTTCTAGACCACTTACAATTTGGCTTCATTTCAGACTTACAGAATCAGATTCTGTGTGTAGAAGACCAAAGAATCTGCATTTAAACAAGATCCAGGTGCTTCTCAATTCTAGCTGACTCACTAATTTAGAGGCTTATATCTGTAAAAAGACATGTCTTACTGAAACTTGTAAGAAAAGAATAGACTTTTTTTTTTTTTAGGGGAGAGAGAAAGGGAAAAGTTTCAAAAAGCTCTAAAACAATTCCTTTTCCAAGTTTTAACATCTAAATTATACCACTCCATGTAAACTCTCTAGTGGTAACTTCCAAAGTATTCATCACATATCTCAATTCATCCTCAAGGAATTTCTGAGAATTCATCCTCAGAAAAGTCCCCTTTCAAAACTATATGTAATATAATAGAATACATTCTGAACACTGTATGAAAAAGACAAGAGTAAAAATTAAAAAGTACAAGGAAATAAATAATAGAATTTTAATATTTTCTTCTCCTACCTCAGCAAATAGTCTTGTCCTGCTGTCTAACATTATTCTTTGGAGACCCCAGCATGTTGCAGAACAAAGAAAGTAGCCCTCAATTTTCACATGGGTTATATTCATTTGTAATTTGGACTTTTGGAACCTGGATTATACTTTCTCATAGAAACAGTGATAAATTATATTTAGCTCTATAGTAAATCTCAAAAGATTGTTGGAGTGAAATTTTATTTTATTAAATTTTATTAAAGTTTTTATATTTTTTATATTCCAGAGAATATACTATTACAATACTGGCAGCCACTTATAAATAATCACAAATGAAGTTAAACTGAATATAAGCTTTTGAATATAGGTGCTTGAAGGATAGGCTTAATTGGAAAAATACAGGGATACTT